TGGTTTTTGAAAAGAGGGAGGCAGATAAGCTACCTCCACATCGTGACTATGACTGTGCCATAAACCTTTTACCGGGCACTATGCCCCCTAGGGGTAAGGTCTACCCTCTTTCTGAGAAAGAAAACCAGGTCATGGAGGAGTACATACGAGAATCCTTAAGGAAAGGTTTTATTAGAAGGTCCTCCTCTCCTGCTGGTGCTGGTTTCTTTTTTGTGGCAAAGAAGGAGGGCGATTTGAGGCCGTGTATAGACTACAGGGGTCTGAACAATATAACGGTTAAAAACGCCTACCCTATCCCCCTCATCACTGAGTTGTTTGATCGCGTTAAAGGTTCTAAGTACTTTACTAAACTAGACCTCAGGGGAGCTTATAACCTTATCCGTATAAAGGAGAATGATGAGTGGAAGACAGCGTTCAATACGCGTAGTGGGCATTATGAATACCTGGTCATGCCTTTTGGACTGTGTAATGCTCCTGCTGTGTTTCAGGATCTCATAAACGATGTCCTTAGGGATCTATTGCATGTCTGTGCCGTGGTGTACCTTGACGACATACTTGTATATTCTCCTGATTTGAAGTCACATCATAAACATGTTAGGATGGTGCTTAAAAAATTATTACAGAACGGACTTTATTGTAAGTTAGAAAAATGTCTGTTCGATCAGACCTCTGTGCAATTCCTGGGATATATAATTTCTGAACAGGGTTTTAGTATGGATCCTGCTAAATTGGAAGCTATACTGTCCTGGCCACTTCCCCAAGGACTTAAGGCTATCCAGCGTTTTATAGGTTTTGCTAACTATTATAGAAAATTTATAAAAACTTCTCACCACTTATCTCTCCTATCACAAAGCTGACTAAAAAAGGTCTACACCCTAGGGTTTGGACTCCTGAAGCCCTTAAAGCCTTTGAAACTCTCAAGAAAGCATTTGCCTCTGCTCCAGTACTACACCACCCTAATCCTTCTCTTCCCTTTGTTATGGAAGTAGATGCTTCTGAATCGGGGGTGGGAGCAGTACTATCACAAAGGTTATCGTATGACGAACCCCTCCATCCCTGTTGTTTCTTTTCTAAAAGGTTGTCTGATCCAGAAAAGAATTACGATGTTGGGAACAGAGAACTATTAGCTATTGTGTTAGCTTTTAAGGAATGGAGGTACTTATTAGAGGGTTCTAGACACAAAATTATGGTTCTGACAGATCATAAGAACCTCTCCTATATAACCGATGCTAGAAGGTTGTCCGCCCGACAGGCTAGATGGTCTCTATTCCTTTCGCGATTCCAATACATTATTACCTATAGACCTGGTTGCCGTAATGCCAAAGCTGACGCTATCTCTCGACAGTATGAACCTTTAGAATTTGTTAACCCAACCCCTGAACCTATTGTACCAGCTTCTCAGATCATAGCTGCTACCCGTTTGGTTGTTTCATCTCCCTTCCTTGAGAATATTAAGACATACCAAACCCAAGCGCCTCAGGAGAAGCCTGTTGGTAAACTATACGTGAAAGTAAGTGACAGAAAAAAGTTATTAACATTATTTCACACCGCCAAAACTGCTGGTCATCCGGGGGTTACCAAGACTTATAAGAGCCTCCTTCAACAGTTCTGGTGGCCTTCACTCAGGCGAGACGTAGTGGATTTTGTTCAGGCTTGTCGGGTCTGTACGCAGTGTAAGTCTCCTAATATGAGACCCCAAGGCCTACTGATGCCTCTATCTATACCCAAGAAACCATGGACCCACTTGTCCATGGATTTTATTGTAGACCTTCCTCCTTCTGATGGTCAGACGGTGATATTAACTGTGACGGATAGGTTCTCTAAAATGGCCCACTTTATTCCACTTAAGAAACTACCCTCTGCGATTCAGCTTGCCCAGGTGTTTACCAAGGAAGTGTTCCGATTGCATGGGGTACCTCAGGATATTGTTTCTGACAGGGGCCCGCAATTTGTCTCTCGGTTTTGGAGGGGCTTTTGTGCTGAGATGGGGGTCTCCTTGTCGTTCACTTCCTCCTATCACCCGCAATCTAATGGTGCAGCCGAACGTGCTAATCAGTCTGTGGAATTGTATTTGCGCTGCTTCACTAATGCGCACCAGGACGACTGGTCTCGCCTTCTTCCGTGGGCTGAATTTGCCAGGAATGCGGTGTCTCATTCGTCTACTGGCTTAAGTCCTTTTGAGGTTGCTTATGGGTTTCGGCCTTCTGTCCTTCCCGGAGCGTTCTCTGACAAGGGAATGCCCGCCTTGGACCAGCACCTCGCCTCTTTACGGAAGACGTGGGATCAGGTCCATATTGCGCTGTCTCGTTCAGCAGCTGCTCAGAAGAAGTTCGCTGATCGCCATAGGGGAGCGACCCCTTCTTATGCTCCGGGTGATAGGGTGTGGTTGTCCTCCAAGAACCTCCGTCTCAGGGTCCCCTCCATGAAATTTGCTCCCAGGTTTCTTGGTCCCTACAAAGTGTTACGTAGGGTCAACCCCGTTTCCTACTCCCTGGACTTGCCTCCTTCCATGCGTATTCCGCACACGTTTCACGTTTCACTTTTGAAGCCCTTGCTGTGTAACCGGTTCTCTCGTCCTCTCGGACGGCCCGTTTCCCCTCGTGCTGTCTCTAGTGACGTGTTCGAGGTAGCTGCCCTTCTCGACTCTCGTGTTTCTAGGGGTCGGCTGCAATACCTGGTGGATTGGAAGGGTTACGGCCCTGAGGAGCGGTCTTGGGTTTCGAGCTCTGATTTGCACGCCCCCTCTTTAGTCCGCTCCTTTCATGCCCGGTTTCCTTTGAAGCCTTCTGCTTCCCGCCCTCTGGGCGGTCTTCGAGGGGGGGGTACTGTCAGGGTCCCGCGGGCGGCTGCGAGGGGAGGTTGCAGTCCGCTCGCGGCACTCACCCTCCAGCCGTCCGCGGTCCCCCTTCAGCCGTGTGCTCGGCGGGCGGCACCCTCTCTCCCACGGGTGCCGTCCGCCTCTTCCTCTGTGTCTCCCAGCGGCAGCATGCATGACGCTGCACGCTGGGAGACCGCCCACTTTAACCAACGCCAGGGTCAGTCACCTGACCCGGCGTTAAAGGTACAGTGCCTCAATCACAGTGGGAGGTTTAGATATCTCCCACGTGTGATTGTTAATTCTGATTGGAAATTATCCAATCAGAATTAACCTTTGGATTTATATACTTACCTTTCCTGTTCCTCTTCGCCCTGTTGTGGTCTTTGCTTGTTAGTATTGATTCTGAACTTGTGCTTCTGGTTACGTACTCTCTGGCTTGTTATCCGACTCTGTGACTTTCTCCTACCCTTTGACCTCGGCTTGTTTCACGTTATTCTGTCTTCTGGTTCCCCTTACTCGGCTTGTTTTCTGACTATTCTTTGTGTGCTTAGCCCGGCCACTCTAAGGTCCGGTACGGCACTTTGTGTGTGTGTGTGTGTTGGCGTGTTTGGTTCCCCGAATCGTGACAGCAAGATGTTAGTAGGAACAGCATACACTGAAAGGCACAACCAAGTTGCTGGGATTGTGTACCGAAACATCTGATGAGAATACAGATTGGACCTGCCTAAATCCAGATGGGTAGTTGAGACAGGGCTAAGATCCTGTGGGACTTCAAGATCCAGACAGACAAGCAAGTACTGCTCAACCAATCTGACATTGTGTTGGTAGACAAGGAACGGAAGACTGCAGTGGTGGTGGATATTACAATACCCAGTTATAACATAACATGAGAAGATGTACAAACAGCAAGGATTGAAATAAGAGCTAAAACGATCTGGAAATGGAAGGCAGTAGTAGTCCAGTTATGATAGCAGCACTCGGGCTGTGACTCGAACAGATTCCAGGTGGGAAATCTGAGATTGCTGTCCAGAAGAGTGCAGTTCTAGGAACAGCTAAGATACTGTACAGAACCCTCAGACTCCCAAGCCTCTGGTATAGGACCTTTTTAATAAATGTGTATAAACACTTTTATATATTGGAGTGTTCCTTCAATCTTATATTATGTCCCAACTACATGTATAACTGCAAGCAGTATGGAAACAACACACTTACTAGTGATTGAACTACTGTTAAACTCTTGGTATAACAACAAATAACATTATTTGCTCTACTCTGCTCACTGTCCTGAACGAAGTGGCAAGGCACATTTTACATTATTTACAAGTAGAATTAGGTGACATTTCTCCGAATACCGAGAATGTCCATACAAGTGTAATGTGCTACTCCCCACTTTTCTTTGCAAATGGTTTTCACGCCCTTAAACCCTGACATAATGACAAACTGCAGCACTTTCAAAGCCATGTACAAGAGAGCTTGGAAGCCTGACTGGTTGAGATGCTATGGGTACCAATTCCTGTAAGCACAAAGATAGCAGTAATGTATTATAAACATTAGAGATAAATTAGAGCCTCACGAATTCTATTACATACCACTGTCCTATTTGACAGCACAAAATAGCACTGGATACTTGCAAATCACACTTATAATCAAAGGCATAATTCTGAAAGTGGAGCAGTTAGCAGGTATGTGCTACTGTTTCCATGGTAACTGCTTAACCCTCAGAACACTACCCATAATAACCCCCAGGATGGTTTACTTATGTAACCAAAAAACACATTAATTCTAAGTACGGTATGTATGCTGCCACCATAGCTTCACATGTTTCCGAATGTTGTAAATGCACATGGATGTGACAGGTAACACACTGACAGACACCATGCTGATCACTCTGTGACACTGCTCATCTGTCACTACCTTGTGGTCTCCTTGACTATTGCCGTTGCCATGGTAACACCGCGCGCCGGTAACTCTTCTGCCAAGCCCTGGGTACCGGTGTACGCGCCTAGGCTGCACAAGTCATGTGATCCACATTGGGGCAGTCAGCTGACCCGCTCACCCGGAAGTAGTACGGCGAGTCAGGTGCCTCAAAGTTCGAAAGACAATTACTGAACGCGGTTACCTCTATCCCAGCGCTGGAAGCCTGGTAGCTCCTTAACACAGCTGCAGTAGCTGTAAAGCTTTACTAAGTATTCAGTGTGATGGTAGCTCGCTGGTGGTTTGTTTTATTTTGTTAGCATGTGCTATATATATATATATATATATAGTCTTTAATGGGTATACTGTAACACATTTGTATCATGTAGAAGGAAAAGTATTGTTTAAGAATCCCTGTAAATAACAGAGCTATATTGTATTGGTCTGCAAACTATGGCACATGAGGCTGCTGCACCCAGAGGCTGGGGAAATGTGAATATCATGCTCAGCACTGGCCTGATAGAGGTCCCAGTGAACTTCTTCTGATATCTGATAGTGCCCAATGTAGACGGTGGTGAGGGACAGCCCTAAATTTTTAAGGTACATTGTAAACCATTCTAAAATTCTACTGGATGCACTCCTAGCACCATAACGACAACAGAGGCCTTTAGTGGTTATGGTGCTTGGAGTGTTCTCTTAACTCAGTCACCTATTCCTCAGGTCTAATATTTTGATATGTTTTTTTTCTTTATTATTATAATTTAAACATACATATATTTTAATAGAACCAAAAATATTAAATAATTCGAAAAGCTTATCCAACAATATTAAGTTTGAGGACTTGGACTTAGACTTGAGTGACCGATCACAAAAAGGACAAGAAATTTTGCGAATAAAGAAAAAAGAATGTTGGGCACCTGAAGCAGTTTAAAATGTTAAACTATTTAGTAAACAAATATGTAAAATGAGTGCAGAGAATTAGAATAAGAAGGTTGACCTTGCAAACTAATATAGTTTGGCCTATTATAGGCAAACTGTCACTTCTCTGCAATTTACTCTATTGAATAAAACATTGAAAAAATCACATAACTTGTGTTCAATTTTTTTTTTATTTTTTTTTTATGAGATACTGTTTCCTTCTTTTTTTTTTCTCATTTATCATTTTTATTGAATGACAATTGCAACACATAACATGGTAAGCAATTACAGGTCGCCTACACAGCGATATTTGCGGATAACATTCTGCATGTCGCCCTATGTAGAGCCTTATTTCTCGCTCAATTGATCAATTAACCGCTTAAATATACAAATAATCATACAAATAATCATACAAATAATCTGTGTGTCAGGCGATGTTCGATGTGATGCATACAGTTTCAAAGCATGCGGTACATTTTTTTGTTTTTTATAGTTAACTTGGGAGGGGTTGGGATACAGAAGGAAAAAGGGGGGGGGGAGGGGAGATCCCTGGACACAGCTTCACATCGCAGCCAGCAGTACAGTACAGATCACCTTCCTTATGTAGCTTGTGAGATTGATGAGGCTATATGTACCCTGAGCACCTCAACGCCCTGACCCCTTTGGTCCCTTAACATTTGCGCCTGTGTGCTCCCTTACTGGCCCACTATGATGGTTAACCATTTGGTTTGAGCAGTCGGTTTGTCTTAGTTGTCAGTCAGGGACTATGTAGCCGCCCAACAGACCCATTCTTTATCATACTTTCCTAGGCATCCTTTCAGTTTGCTGGCCATTTTCTCGTACATACTAATCACATTCATTTTGTTGATAAAAATTTGTTTGCTTTTCAAGTTACCAGCTAAAGCTACTTTTGCTATCGTCAGTATATTCAGAATCACTTTTTTGTGTGGATGCGTGACTAGGTCTGGTATGACATGTAATAAGTACTTTTCCGGTCGCAATGGGATAGAGGTGCCAGTTTTACTCAAGATCAGGATTTGGATTTGTTTCCAGAATCCGTCTAGCAACGGACATTTCCAGAACACATGTAGCATGGTTCCAGTGTCCGACTCACATCTCCAACACAAGTTCGTAGCGCCTGAGTACATACTCGCTAGTCTCTGTGGTACCAGATACCACCTCATAGTTATCTTGCAGTAGGCCTCCCATGGCGAGAGGCTACTCGATGCCTGTTTTGTATTTGCCCTTGCAGACTGCCAGTCTGCTTGGGAGATATGAAATCCCAGGTCCTGCTCCCATTTTGCCATGTATTTCAGTTTATCTGGGGTGTTTTCTGTGACCAACGCATTGTAACATAGGGAGAGTGGTTTTGCTGCCTTTATCAGAGATAAGTGGCTAGGTTGGAGTACCGGAGAGTCAGTTCTAGCGGCTGTTTGGTTACCATGGGTTAGTATTATGTTTTTGATCCTTAAATAAAGGTACAGATCTCTCAAGTCTAACCCCAGTTCCTCTTTCAATTCAGGGAATGGTTTCACCGCGTCTCCTGACATTAAATCCCTCACTAATCTCGCTCCCTTGTTGAGCCATTTGCCCACCTGTATGCCTGGGGAGTAGGCTGCTAGGGTCGTGATGGGTGCCTCCCTAAATAACCGTACTGGGTCCAGCACCTTCGGACACCAGGTCTTCCATGCTTTAAGCATAGTGATCGAGCATCTCAGGGTCATGCCCACAGATGTTCGGGGCGTGGAGCATATCCACAAGTAATGGACTGTGTCGTGTGCCTCTAGGCATTCATTTTCTAATGACAGCCAGAGCGGTTTACGGGGGAAATTATGGATCCTGATGAGTCGCAGACCCTGTGCCAAGAAAGAGGCCCTGTAGTATGCAGGAACATCCGGCATCCCCAGTCCACCTTGGACGTAAGGGAGACCCAGACACTCTTTATTCACTCTCGGGGGTTTCCTCTTCCAGATGTGTGCATTGATCGTGCTTTGGAATTGTTTGAGCAGCGCAGTCGGGAGGGATATGGGCAGGGTTCTGAATAGGTATAGTATGTGTGGAAGTGTCATCATTTTAATTAGATTGATACGTCCGAGCCAGGAGGTATCCATACTAGCCCACTGTTCGAGGCAGGATTTGATTTTCTTTAGCACGGGGTAGTGCTTTTCTTTGATCACCGTTTGAAGGGATTTGGTGAGGTTTACACCTAAGTATTTTAAGGAATTGGTGCGCCAATCAAATGGGTGCTGCGGTTTTATCCTTTCTAATGTAGGTTTTGGTAGGTTTATGGGTAGAGCTTGCGTTTTGGTTATGTTGTTTTTATAGTACGATATCTTCCCATAGTCTACCAGCGTTCTCATGAGATTGGGAAGGGAGGACTCTGGTTTTGTAACAAACAGCAGTATGTCAAAGGCAAACAGAGCTAGTTTCTTTTCGCCCCCCTGGGTGTGCAGCCCATGTATATTGGGATCATTTTTTACTATTCTTATTAGCGGTTCCAAGCATAGGATAAATATTAGGGGGGAGAGGGGACAGCCTTGTCTGGTGCCATTACATATGGCGAGCCTGTTAGATACGAAGCCCGTGCTAAAAACATACTGTTTCCTTCTAACGTGTATTAAAATCATTTGCAAATTACATCATAATCCAGTTCAGACAAGGCAATCCAAGACTGAAAAGGAGAAATTGATACATTGTTTTCTTCTCTTTATTCTGACTGGCAGGTGAAGAACTTATAAGGATGATTAAAAGGGAGCTAAGATGGAGTTGTCCATTTGCAGGATAAAGAGGTATTGATTTCTACATTTAATTTCATTCTTCACACCACACAAATACATATTTCCTAAATTTAGGGACGTGTTAATATACTATTAAAAATCCATGGAAGTCACAGTTCCCCTTTATTTATAACCTTTAGATTAAAATGAATCCCAAGTGGGGTGTTTCACTAATGCAACAATTGTGTAGAACTGACTAGTGAACTGTAAATTTGAATCCATATTTGCCAAGGTGGAGAAGTAGTTGAGTTTGACAATATGTCACTGTGGTGACTTATGCGCTCAACAAATTTGAAACATTCCCCGAGTCCTCACATTTGAATGTCCAGTGCTTCCCAAATCAAATCAATTCTCAACTCTGTGAAACTCAAACATGCCCAACGACTAGTGTATAGTGTGTCTTTTGAGTTATTTATCATTATACCACTCAATTTCTTGTAAAACATCATAATTTGTGTGGTCCAGGGCCCATGGACCACCATGATGGATTAGCACTGTAAAGTGTGAATTGCATGCAGGCTGCAACCACTATAATGTCAGCTACCATAGCTAGATTTACCACTAGGGCATGACCACACTGCAGCAAGAAGTCAGGGTAAGGCTCACGCAGTCTGTATGCTGGTAAAGTATAAAATCTGCCTGGATATTTGTATTAACTCACCAGTTTAATTCACAAGAGTTTAGCAGTCAATGAGAGAAGTTATTTTGGCAAGTATATACAGTACTTATCAGTTTTGTGTTTTCCAGGATACTGCCAATCATATGAGGTAGTTTTATTAGTGCTGTATGTATGGCCAGCTCTGGTTTACTAGTCTGCAGTACTGCCATGCATGCATTGTGAGATGTCTCTGGCACTTTCTATGCCAGCTCCTCCTGCTCCAGAACTAGATTTGTATTGCTTGTGTTAGTCAATATATATATAAAACACACACTACTTTCTTGCTCTGTATTTGTTATAGCAACCCTTATCCTCCCTTTATGCATTGAATATGTCATTTATCAGAGATAAATTACGTATTCAACTAAAAATCCTAAATTATAAACTCACCCCCAGTGCAGGGTTGTTATGTATTTTTCTTGGTGGTTGTTACACTATTGTAACTCACCTTCAGTCCCCACTCCATTGCTTGATTTGTCCGCTTGGGGAGTATCCCCAAACAGAGCAAATCTTATCCATGGCGTTGACATGCTGTATTCATTGGCAGCATCTGAACAGAGTCACATTCTTATACTCCCTACCATGCATGTGCAGTGTCGCCTATAAAAGTAACCATATCAGCCAAAGTTCATGGGCAGTGGTTGCAACACATTAAGAGTAGCCAGGATGACTTACCTGAAATCCAGCGCCAGGTCAAGTTCTCCTGGTTCTGTTACACACCTCTCCACATGTGGTGCCATGTCATCAGCTTCATCCTTGATGCCAAATCAAATGTTCCCCATACAGGAGCATTGATTGGCTTTGGACGCATGCACCAAAGAGGAGGAGGAGGAACTGTAGGGAAACCCACGGTGGTGGACATGGGGAGGGAACTGAGCGGAGGTACAGTGGAAGATAGAGTACAACGGCAGGCACTATTGCAAGGAGAGGGTGTGAGGGAATATTTAAATGTTAACACGGACACTCGTGGAAAGATTGAGGCAGGGCTGTTTGAGGCAGAACACAGTCCAAATGCTTCACTTGCAGATCTGCTCACAGCTTTCCCTGCAAGTTAAAAACAAAAAAAACTGACATCTGTTGCCAGCATGCAGTTCTGATGACATATGTTTTGCTAAGAATTGACATTTGGCAGTCTGGATCAGATTTTTGTGCTGCCAAATCGTGTGTGCCAGGGGTATATCAAGCAGAAACACTGCACATACAGATTCTATCCTCCATGGCCACTTCAAAAAGCATAAGTGGTCATAGACATTGGAGTAACCCTTTACATTTCAAATTCACTTTGAATTCCTGACAATTGTCACTTTTGTGATTAACCTTCTGAATGTATGGGTCGATTGATGCCCCAACACTATATTGAGAATAAGATATTCAAAGCAATTTTGTAATAGCTTTGCACTCTGTGGTTACATTGGTGCACATTGTTACATTTATAGGTTCTCTTAAAGTGTGGTTATCCGAATAGCTTTCACTGAATAGCTGAAATTGAGTTTGTCCAAGCTGCCGTGGAACAATATTTCAATGCTGCAAGTGAATAACTTGCACAATTTCTTAATACATGGAGGAAACCTCTCATGAAGCCCATTAAAATAATACACAACACCAAATAATTAACAAAGCATAAAAAAAATGTTTTATTGGAAAACCCCAATATTAACAAAATGTTCCATTTTACAAAATTTTCAGATACATTTATGTACAAAAATTCAAAAATTTACATTCAACGTTAGCAAGACGTTTGGTTCAACATTTTACTGCCATTTCCTCTTTTAGTTTTTTGAAAACTGCATTCAACTATATATTGAGTACCTTGCAAGATCCCAAAATAATTAGACTAATTGTATACCAAGAAAAACAAAATTACCATAATATATTTACAGCAGTATATACACTCAAACTATAATGTAGAAAAAGGTTACAATTCACATTAGAAGGTCTATTTACAATTCTCCAAATCACAGTCACAGTTTGGCGAGTTTAACATGAATTTGCAATTGTGTTTTGAATTATAGCATGGAACCTAATATATTATCCAACATTTCTATTCTAAAAAGTACTTTAAAGTAAATATGACCCAATGCATAAATGTCTGAAATATACTAGTATTTTATGATCTTGTGTCCAATTTTATTGCTATTATCGAATTCTGCTTAAGCTGTACAGCACTAGAAAATGAAGATGGATTCTACCATTAATCATGTGTAGTGGCTGCTCAATCATATTATGCTAGTTGGAGAAACAGCAGGTTCATTCTTATAAGGGAGCTGATTGAGGATTTACCAGGAAATTGCACATTTTAAGATAGTATAGCCAAAATTAGTTCACTCTCCATTTTGTCCATTATAAGGGCTGCAATTCCACAATGCTTGGTTTAGAGGAAAACCATGTACATGATATCTTTAAGCCATTAAATATCAGCATATTCTGCCTAAAGCTTAAACAAGTTGGTTTTTTTTTTTGGAGTGAGTAAATAACTATCAGCCTATGATACAGCTCATACAAATCTGTGGTAAACTTCTCAGTTCAACTCAATTTAAAGAGTTTTCAAGTATGGAAATTAAAACAGTGAAAGAGGGGAAAAAAAAAAATCACAACTTTTAAAACCAGTTGTTTTAGCAACTTGTTTCAAGTAATACCAACAAAGCAAATTACCGGTAGTTTTTACACATATTCTGTAATAAACAAATGACAATGTCATTCTCTGGTGACTGCCACATTTAGTTGGGAACATAAAATGGCAGCTTGCTGATGACCTTACCAGACTCTGTTTGGATTCGGTCATACACCCATTTCCTGTTGCAGCGACATTCTGGTCCACATTTTGTAGAGCTACATTTGGGACAGGGATAGAAGCATCCTTGGCATTTTTCTTCCAGGCAGTCACATAAGTCTCTGTTATTGCAAAGGAGTTTGCCTTTCTTGTCATACTTCTTCAAAGAAACCCTGAGAAAGACAGGAAAACGGCTAATATTCTAAATATGTCAGACATGCTGACGTGCTTAACTTCTATCCTTGCAGGTGGAGCTCACTCTGCACTCCCCTTTATTAAGCCCACCCTGCGTTGCTTTTGTTAAAAAAAAAAATAAAAAATCCCTTTCCTGTTCACCCCATCCCTGTGCAGAGTGTGCACATGTGCTCTGATTTGCTGAAAATTTTGAATCACATGCTTCTTTATGAGAAGACTGAATGGACCATATGAGGCCTCCTGCTGACATCAGATATGGGAGGGTGATCAGCACCAGGAGATTTGCCCGATGCTGGATTACAGGTATATTTGAATGATGTTTTTACAGGAGGGGGTTTAATAACATTCAATTGGTCATTTTAGCTTGAAAAGAATAATGGTTTTTATATAAAAAAATAAAATAAAAAGGGCTACAGTAACCCTTTATGGTCCATCTAATTATATTTAATGAAAACAAGTGAAGTAAAGTAGCAGCAGTCACAAAGTTACAAGATAAGCATTCACTTCCAAAAAAATAGCAACAATAAAGGGACACTGTAGGCACCCAGACCACTTCAGCTCGTTAGAGTGGTGTGAGTGCAGTGTCCCATCATCCTTGACCCTGAGCATGTAATTATTGCAGTTTTTTCATAAACCTACAATGGTTAACTCCTCCTCTAGTGGCTGTTTACCAGACAGCCACTAGAGGGACTTCTGGGCTGGAAGGTGACTTTTGGTCGCATATATAACACTGGATGTCCTCATGCTATGCAAGAGTACTTCCAGCGTCACCGGAATCCCCATAGGAAAGCATTGAATAATGTTTTCCTATGGGAAAATCCTAATGCAAGATCGGCATGCGCATTAGTTCCCCCCCCCCGCCAACTGGGGAGGATTGAAGGCGGACCCAAGCCAGCACCGAGTGACTTTGACGCTGGACCCAAGTAAGTGACAGAAAATGTTATCTCCCCCTTCTGCACTGTGGGGGTTTTGGCAGAGAGGGAAGCTATAGTACCAGGAAAACAAATTTGTTTTCCTGGTACTATTGTTTCCCTTTAATATGCAACCCACCAGTTGAGCAGACTACATTTGTCATTATGTTCAGTCAAGCAGATTCCACCATGAAGAAAAAAAAAAATGTAAAGTTGATGATGTAATGTAAGCTAGATTACCAACAGTTCACAATCAACTATCAAAAATATAGAGTTGGGAAAATGTATAATATATCGATCCAACTGCCCGTTTAGCAAATACACTGGTGTATCTTACTTGTTTGTAGAGTAATATCCATTCATCTGGGACAGGTAAGCTTTCTTCTTCTGGATTCTAGTCTCTGGGTTGAAATCTGCTACCTGAGGTCCAGGGTTTTGAAAAGCTAAACATTTCAGCTGCCGTTCAATCTGCTGCTAAAATATGCATAAATATATTTAAAAAAAGAAAACCCACAATTTAAAACCAACACTACTGCATTCACTAGGTTATGTAATGCTCATCTAGATTAAAACATATTGCAAAAAAATTAAAACCAGTGTCAGACTAAAAACCAGAGTTTGGTATTACTTCAGAAGTCAAACATTACCATGTGTACAAAATAGCCAAATGAACTTACAAAAGATACAAATAGGCAGAAATGGCACTGCTCCCAAAGTTTCAATTAAATTAATAGTTTTGGCTCTGAGTGACAAAAATCAAACAGTATCCTTTTCTACATTACAAAATGTACTGATTTTGCTAAAAAAAGGAAGTGTTCCACATTTTAAAGCAAGTTAGGTACCAACAAAACCATTATGATTCTTTTGGCCTAACTAATAAATAAATTGTTTTTGCATCTTGATCGTTGTAGATCTGCTAATTCCTTTCCTACTTTAAATGGTTCATACATGAATTTAAATATCTAGAAACCCTTGCTCTACTACAAAGCTTTTATAGGATAAAAAAAAAAAAAAAAGTAGCTAGAAGACAAAAAAGGTTCTTTAGAAAATCCCACTAACAAATCTGGGTATCTACTTAGCTAGCTATTACCAGTGGCACTTGTAACTACTTTGATTGGGCTATAGCCTGATCCTAGTGTAAGACTGGCCTACTAATGGGCATGAAGATGTAGTTGCAAAATACAGGTTTTTGAACATCATATCTTGTTCTATCAAGAAAACACCTCTCTGCCATGTTTATTTTAGCTTGACATATGACATTTTCAATTGACGCATTTTTCTCATCTTCCCCATGTTCCTTTTTGCCATGTAAATTTACCATTAACTAACTGATGAAATACACCTGATGCATTACCTAAGCCAGTTTTCCACTAATCTATCTAATATCTTACTTTTGGATCAATAAATGAGTTGGGTTTGAAATTTGTACAGTGTGTCTGTGCGGTTACTTTGAATCTCAGCTCCCAAGGCAGCTTGTGTTTCCCTGTCTCCGGTTAGATTTATATCTATCTATCTATATATACATACACACACATACACACACACGATAACAGGTTTGCTTATCAATGGAGTATTTTTATATTGGTAAACATTTCTTTTATTTTAGTTACATTTTTAATATCTAAGAAACTTACCAGCTGTTTTTGTGCTTTGGGATAATCCTCTTTGTGTGTCTCTGTCTGGACTTGTCTGTCATCATTTCTCATTGTGCTTGATTTCTCGGATTTAACACTCATGTCCAGACCTAGTAGAAAGAGAGATATAGATATAGATATATGTGAGTAACATATTGGAGAGAACATGATTCTTCTGTTTTGTATGACTTTTTATGGGCAAAGCAAAAGCCATTATTACAATGTCAGCAATATCTAAATAAATGGCTATGATATAAGTCAATTGCACACTGGGTCATGCAGTTTTGCCAGGCATTATTTGATATTAAAGCAAAAACTTCAGTTTTTTTTTTTTTGTATTCTTACTGGCTGCTTGATGCCTTCAGCCAATCAGAATGCAGTTAGAAAACTTAGTCTAGGAAATCCACCGGGGTTTAGTCAATAAGTGGTCAAATGCAACCAAACTCTCTTCACAATCTGGCCATATTTTCATAAAAAGGCAGTTTCAGTTATGCCAACTAAATTTGCATTTCCATTCAGCAACCAGTTAACCGTCTGTTAAAATTAGGTGAATCTCCATATGACTTGGTGAAATGCAATGGAACTGAAATTGAATTTCCATAATTCTGTTGATCAAAAACCTCTGATAGAGAAGAAGGGGATTGTACCCATAACACTAAGCAGCTTCAACATGGATGCTGTCCAGGAGATGGGAGGGTCTGGGAGGGAGGGTCTGCTGGAGATTGGCCGGGACGTGTCAGCTGACCGGAGTTCGCCACAAACCGTTCGCAAAAAGTTCGCGAACGGTTCGCGACATCTCTACATCCTAATACTACCTTAAGAATTTTTTTTATGTTCTTTCACTAGTGACACCTAAATAAATGGGTCCCTGGCTGCCCACAGCCCTGTGGCCTCTACTGGAGGTATGGCTAATGCAGAGATTACACACTTCCTTCTAGGTATACATATTCATACCAGCAATAGGCACTGTGAGAGGCTAGAAGCAGTCAGCTAACACTCTTCTCCAATCACAACCACCCATTGCTGCTCAAGCTAATGCATCCTCAATACCCCACAGAAAGTATGGGGTGCAGAGGACTCTTACTTAGAATTTGAACATTAAAAGAAACAGTTTAATGCTGGATTGAAGGACACCAGGTGACTCTATAACCACTTCAATGAGAAGACAGTGTCACTTTAATGTATTAGTGTTCACCAGTCTGCTGAGGTTTATTCCTCTAATTAATTTCTCTAAACATTACTTATGCAAAGTGGACTTAACAGAACAATCCAAGCACCACAAAGTGTCCTGGAGCCCTGTCCATGTACATAATTAAACCGTTTGCTAACAGTCGGCAGGCCAGACAGGTATCTGTATGTCCACTTACATTTTTTTTGCTGAGGCCAGGTTTTTCATAAAACAGCTGGCCAGTGTTTCTGCTCTATCAGCTCTTCTCCATGTAACCATAATCTATTGTCCAGTGAAGCCCTGGAATTCCCTCCGCTCCCACCTTTTATGGGAATTAATGTTTGCAGCAGGAGCCAACTCGCACAGAAGTGGGCTACCTCTCCCACCACAGCCCAAACCACCTGACCTAACAAGTTCAGACAGAAAGAGGCAAGTGAAAGGCCTCAGAGTCCTCAGTGCCAGGCAAACTACAAATGCCCAGCATGCCATGATTGATAATACACATCTATGTGTGCCAAGGTATTTGTCTGTAATGATTGTGTCAGAACTTGTCTTTAGTGATCACATGTGTAAGAACTTGTCTGCAGTGATCGTGTGGGTCAGAGAGCTTTTCTGCTGTGATCGTGTGGGTTAGAGAGCCTGTCTGCAGTAATTTTGTGTGTGTCACTGAGCTTGTATGTATTGAGGTTGTGTGTTCCAATGAGTTTGTCTGTAATAAGCTTCACGAAGGCAATAGTTGCCTAAATGTTTGCTATTCTGGTTATACGTCACTTTATTGAGTAAACTCCACTGTGATACTTTGGAGAAATGCATCCCTATACATTTATGGTGCTTATCCATGGGTACCTTTCGTCTACATACACTAATAAGGAAATCTTACTCGCATGAGAGGGGCGTGGCCAAGGAGGCAGGCTTCTGGTGCAGGATTCTGCAAAACTTTTTAGTGCATTAACTAAAAAAATAAAGTTTTGAGCATACAAAAATATAGCTTATTAATGAAGCCAACGCATCAGATGCGTTATTATTATGCAGTTTTATTGGTGTTAAGAGTTTCCCTTCATACCGACCTTGGTTTTTATGTCATTACCTGAGCAGTAAGGACTCCAAACTCTACACTTCAGCCCAATAAAAGCCCAAACCCCCCAAATAACATGGCAGGATCCCTGACTGTAGCACATAATTCACTCGTGTAATCTGAATGCAGTGATTATAACATGATCGCTTATAGTAGGGAAATTATATGCATGAATGGACACCCTTTTTAACGAATTTGAGATTAAAAATTGTCAAACCAAAACAAAATAAAAAGCTAACTTTTAAGAGTCCAAGAACTTGACTTTAAGCACCTGCACAAGTTTGTGATGTTGCTGGCAGATGAATAAAGGAAAGTAAAATGTTTAAATACAATTACAAGGTAAACTGAGATTTAAGCTACAAGAGAAACCGAGGGGAAAACAAACAAGCAAAACCCTGAATACTACCCAAGTGTTCCTATTTAGGAGGGACAGTCCTTATTTTGGGCCAACATCCAGCTGTCCCTCTTTTTTTTATGAGCCCTATATTGTTGGTGTGGAAATCAGAGTTCCACAGCAATAACTCTCACAATGATAGCAATAAATGTGTTTAGAAATTAACTTGTGTAAATAAGATATTGTTCACGTTCTAAATTACATTTTAGTTGCATAAATTAGTCATTAAGTCACCTAAAATGTCTCAGAACAGTCCCGACCCTGAGAACAAACCCCCAAAAAACATGACCCTTGCTATAGTTTATCACCTTGCTTGAATTAATGGAATTGTTTCATAAGGTGCCAGCAGCCATACCACAACTGCTACCTGTCTATTTGAACTTCTATGAACGAGGTGTAACGGATTCATCCACACATAGAAACGTTTTTACACATTTTAAACGTTGTCAAGGTGGTATTTACCGTCCTGACAGTAATAGTTGTGCCTATCTGCAACCCAGCATGTCTAGGGATGCCGGCCACTGCGGATCAATGCCACTTTATAGCCCCATGGCCTCCCACGTCGCTGACGATGTCGGCGTGCGTGTGACATAACGCACGTTTTGGGGTCAAAGGCCGGTTACAGCCAATCGGATAAACAGGAGGGTTATTTAAACTAAATTTTACAGTCTCTCATTGCCCTGTTGTGGTTTCTGCCTGATGGTAATCCAAGAGTGCGTTCCTGATCTTGATATTTGTTTTTTGACTTTGGCTTCATTCTGATATCCTTGACTTTTGGCTTTTTCTCATCATTGTGTCTGATTCTGTATCACTGACCTCGGCAAGTATTTTGACTATTTTTGGATACGTTAAGTCCGGCCATTCTAAGGTCCGGTTAGACGTTATCCTTAATCCTAGGTGTGAATACAATTCTGCGTGCTGGATCAATTAGTAATCCTGACACCAGGGCTGTGTGTGATGACTTGATAAGCCACTGACTAAGAATGTGCGTGGTCACAACACATGTTCTCTAGAAAGAGATGGTAAGCATGGGTGCCCAAAAGGTAGATACAGATGTTTTAAAACTACAGCTTCCCTGATCCATTGTCATTCTAAAGTCATGCAAAGCATCATAGGAGCTGTAGGTTTACAACATGTGTGGGATCTACCTTTTGGGCACCCCTGTCCTAAAGTATACACAGAAAAGTTGGATCTATGATGGATGGCAGAGGAGGGAAAAAAATAAAAAAAATATTTACCTTTATTATCTGAAATCCAGGATAACAGACAGATAGCTGCAGCCGTGTTTCTCACATTGCGTCAATTATAAGCTCTTCTTGTGTAAAGTAGTACGAAGTTGTAAGAGTTGTGGTTTGAAATGTGTAACTTATCCCAGCTTTCTCTATTGTGTCTGGGGAGAGCAGCTCTCTCTACCTCAATAATGTATAAACAGACATGTTTTAACTTTAGTTCTCTACCGATGCAAGAAAAACATTGTGACTGTGTGTGGGGTCTGAGTGTGTATTTGAATTCTAGAACAAGATACAACTTGAATGTAGCAAACACTTCAGTTTACGCAGAGCTTCATGTTATGTATATATAATATATAGATCACAATATTCATGGAGTCATTATTTCTCACTTTGTGGAATGTTCCTGTCCTGAAACCAGATTCCAACCATATGTTGTTAATATCAGGATTCCTGCCCATCAATGTGTCTGGAGAAGGATTCTTAAGTAGATGAATTAGGATGATAGGCATCTGGTGTGCACTATAGTTACTTTGGTTTGACAGCTGCTAAGGCACTTTTGCAGGTGATTGGTAATCAAGATAATGTAAATCATGCAGGTTTTCTGCATTAAACATGTGGATTTGCTTTACACAGGGTAGACTTTGCTTTAACATGGGAAACAGAAAACGAGAAAAACTATTCCTGCATACCTCCCAACAAATGGCCATATTTAGGATAGACTGTCCTTACAGTGGACCCAAGTACCCCCAGACCTTTTTTTCCTGGAGCGCCATATTGTAAGTGCGACTTAGTGTATTACAGAGCTATACAGTAAAACAAAACTCTTAACACTCTAAATGTGTGTTTAAAGGGTAATCTGTGTAAATAAGATACATTGTTGTTGTTCTAAGTTACATTTTAACTTTATAAAAAGTTATTAGTAAATCACCTAAATTTCTCAGAACAGCACAGCCCCTGGCCACACCACCAATAACACCTACAATGTAAGTGTCCCTCTTTGTCCATTTGAAATATTGTGAAGTATTCTCTTGCATAAGGTCCTAGCAACCCCAGGCTGGACAGCTAAGCTGTTTCCAAGTGAAACAATAACTAAGGCAAAGAGTTCGTATTACCAAATGTATTCCTCTTACCAGTGTATATACTGAGATGGATCTAGGAGTTTTACATCTAGTCCTTCAACCTTTATTTATGAAAGGTATCTGCTCACTGAGAGAGTTTGGTTTTCTCAGACCTGCATATAAGAGTAGGGATTTTAATTTGGGGTAATGTGAAAATCTGTGCTAATTGGGCCAAGGCTTAACCCTTTTGTCACAGAGACGACTTAAATTTCATCCTTCCAAGCCTCAGCAGGCTTTGGTCACATGTGCAAATATGTTTACTAACCAGTTGTTTTCAATAGGCAGTTTAGTAATTGACAGGTGAATTAGATAATCAATCAGGCTAATTTGGAACACAGTTTAAATATAACTCTCTATCCTACCAAGAGTAGTGATGTCCACTCATTTTATGGGGAAACGAAACAGCTTGACATGCCATTATTGTTTATAGATCCTCCAATGATGTTTATTTACGTTCTTATAGTAAATTGTTTTATATAAACCAGAAAGGCTTCATAGGAAACTCTTGGTCTCTACACAGATACGGTAATGAGTCAGGTCTAAAGGAGCAAAGATCTAGATCTTTTAAAGGAACATCTTCATATAGATCTAAAGGTATGATGTGCAGATCCGTTAAAGCGTTACTGTGACTTCTCTATAAATTACACCATTGAATAAAACACTGATTATCACCTACAGCTTCTGTCTACCTATTTTTCATTAGATTCCCCATTTTCTTTTAATATCTATATTGCTAATTCAGACAATGGCATCACAAATTCAGCCAAGGCACACAATGCAAATGAGAAGGAGAAAAGAAACGCTGTTTTAGTTCCTCTTCATTTAGTAACTGTGTACAATGGCAAACAATTGGAAATTTTATAACAATAATTGATAGGCTTCCAAGATGGAGGCACCCAGCTCCAGGATGGATTACTTTTCCCTATACTGGAAAATAAGTATGTAAATTATAAAAAAACAAACAAAAAAAAAACACACCTCATATTTCACTTATATCGGTAGGGTCACTCTAAGTAGTGTATGACTTATCTAGGGTATTTACCTGCCACGCTTAATAAAAGCTACTAAGTCGTAAAAGTCCGGCTTTGCGCTACATCTCAGACACTATTAAAAGGTAACACGATTTGAAATGACTAGTTTATCTGATTTGGTAATTATCTAATTTAGTATCTATTTTTGTTGTCATATCCCATGTCTTACTTTGTTCTCTCTCTGTGATAGTGTTAAACCGAAATACTGAATGTCAAGCATGGGTCTTTTGCTTCTGCGATGGATAATATGTACGGAGATGTCGCAAAGAAACAAGGAAATAATAATGTAAATGTTATGTAAAAATTAAAAACAAAACTTTTCTAGGACCTAAACTTTTTGCAAATGGCAATAGTTTACTTGTGGCAAGTTGCAAGCCTACAAGTGACAACATTTCACTCGATGTTATGTAATGTATTTAATATACTATTTCTAATAAACTTTTATAAAGAAAATAAATGGTTTTTAATTTTTTTTTATTTTTTTTAATACACTGGAATCTACTTATATTTGACTGTTGTTTCTATCGGCTAGTTTGGGGAGCCAGCCTGGCCATTTGTTGCCATCCATTTTAAACTGACAGAAAACAGTTGACTGTGAGTGCTCACTCCCACACAGTATACTGACTCAAAGACAAAGGGGGCTATGTATAAACAGTGTCTGTTCTGAAATGTGGTGCATACATGAAAAAAGGGTGGAGTCAATGGAAAATGCCTGCTGCTTTAACTGGTTTCCATGGTGACTTTTCATACTTTAGACCACTGTCTAAAGAACAGAACACTTTTTATACATACAAAGTGAGTTAAAGGGTTAATATAACCCTATTGTTGGGGGGAGGGCTTCTGAAATGTAAAATGCCCTATTGGGGTCCTCTCTCAATTAGTAGTGTGTGCTGGGTGAAGTACCCGTGCCCCTCCTGGAGTCTCTGGGTCTGCATACAGTCCAGTCACAGGATTCTCATACAGAAGCCTGTGATTGGACTAATTTCCGTCTTTGAGCACAAATGCATACTGAGGGAAGGAAGTTTAAAAAAAAAAAAATTATTTTAGAAAAACAAATGCTGGTGGAGGGTGCACAATCAAATGTGGGAGGGAGAGCTATCTTCTGCACGCAGACAAAATACTTATTTTATGCACAGAATTTACATTAGGTATCCCAGAGCAGAGTTCTAGCCTGCCTAAGTCACGTGTGCTAGGGGTATACAATTAGCAATATCTGCGTATGTGCAGTGCTCAAGGTAGAAACACTGCATATACTGACTCCTACCACCATGACCACTTCAAATCACAAAAGTGGTCATGGTGGTTGGAACAGTGGCATCTCCAGGATTCATACTTGGGGTGGCACATAAGGGGCCAGGGACAAGAATAGGGAGGACGTTATTAAATGTGTATATATGTGTCTGGTTTGTGTATGTATATGTCCATCAAGTTCAGCCTTCCTCACAAATGTTGTTGCTGTTGATCCAAAAGAAGGCAAAAAAACCTGGTCTGAAGCGCTTCCAATTTTGCCACAAACTAGGAAAAAATTCATTCTTGACCCCAAAATAGAAGTCAGATGTCTCCTTGGATCAAGCAGCTATTACCCCACTAATTAAAAATTGTATCCCTGTATGTTATGTTTTTGTAAGTATTTATCCAATTTCAGTTTAAACATCCGTATGGACTCTGACAAAACCACCTCTTCAGGCAGAGAATTCCATATCCTTATTGTTCTTACTGTAAAAAAACCTTTTCTTTGCCTTAGATGAAATCTCAATTCTTCCAGCCTAAATGTGTGACCTTGTGTCCTATGTATAGCCCTGTTTATGAATAGATTTCCAGATAAAGGTTTGTACTGGCCCCGAATATATTTGTATAAAGTTATCATATCCCCTCTCAGGCGCCGTTTTTCCAAACTAAACAGATTTAATTTTTTTAACCTTTCTTCATAACTAAAATGCTCCATTCCTTTTATCAATTTTGTAGCTCGTCTCTGGACCCTCTCCAGTGCCATGATATCCTTCTTTAGAACAGGCGCCCAAAATTGCACAGCATATTCAAGGTGTGGTCTTACCAGCGATTTATAAAGACGCAAAATTATATTTTCATCCCTAGAATTTATGCCCCTATTTATACATGACAAAATCTTACTGGCCTTAGCAACTGCAGATTGACATTGCATATTGCTGCCTAATTTGTTGTCTAATACAATTCCCAAATCCTTCTTGTGTGTGGTTATCCCTAATTCACTACCATTTAGTGTGTAAGTTGCTTGTGCATTCTTAACCCTGAAGTGCATAACTTTGCATTTCTCTATGTTAAATTTCATCTGCCATTTTAGTGCCCAGTCCCCCAATCTATCCAAATCTCTCTGCAGCAAAGCAATATCCTGCTCACATTTTATTACTTTACAAAGTTTTGTGTCATCTGCAAACACTGATACATACCATACACACTACAGTTCCTTGATAAGCACGCAATGCAACCCCAATACTTATACACTCACAATGCAGCCCATAGATACACACGCACACGCTTTACAGGCCCTTTCAGCACACACACAATCTCAAAAGCTTCTATACATGAACATGTGCTCACACTACAGCCCCTAGTTACACATAGTACACTTAAAACAGACTCCTATATACACACACTTCACCACAGCCCCTTCTAAACAGCCCCTTCTAAACACCATGGGAAATTATCTTGCATCTCCTGAAAAGGTTTTCCAGTTTTCATAAAAATGGTGTGTTGCCTGTAATAAGGAAGGTGCAGCGGTGGAATTACAGGCAGTGCTGTTGTTGCGGTTACCCCGGGGCCCATCGAGTGGCCCGTGGATTTAGGGCCACCCCTTGGGCATGTGTCTTCAGGGGCCGAAAACAGTTTTTACACCAAGGCCCACCCTACGTTAGTTCTGCCACTGTGCAGAAGCTCCGCCCTCAATCTTTGACTGAGCCACACACTGACAGACATACACACATTCTGACAGACATACAGTGACAGGCACACACTCTATGAATGAGACACACACGCATTTTCTCACACACTCACAAATTGCTATTTTAATTTAAATCCACCCAGCCTCGCTACCTTTGGGAGATCTGAGTGGATCTTTCCCTGGCATCCAGTGTGTATCCTCTCAATCTTCCTGCAGTTTCTCTCTGCTCCCCTGCGAGCTTTCTGTAGTGATGCCAGGGCCGGAGTGACGCCATGTCACTAAACAGCACGCAAGGGAGCAGAGAGGAATTGCAGGAAGGTTACTGCTCCCTCACGCGCCGCCTCCATGCTCCCCGGTGTGGCCGGCTTTAATGTTTCCTGCACGGCTTAGCAAAGGGCTTACAAATGCCAAGCACCAGGACGAAATGTCTAGTCATCATGGCGACCTAGCACCTGTGTTGGTGGGGGTGTAGAGAGTGGGATAGGGAAGAGCTTTACAATTTTTACTTTAATAATTGTTGAAAAAAACAAAACCAAAAAAAACAATATTCCCCTTTCCCTGATCTTACCTTGCAGGGAGGGGGTGGCACAATCACATCTGTGGTGGTTGAGAAGCCTGCCTATCCAT